ATTAAAACTGCTATTAAAACTATATCCCATATATTCCAGAAGGTGGAGAAAAGACTAAGCATATTAATTATATGAATTCAAGAAATTAAAAAAAGAACTTCTAGAGATAGGCAATATCTGAGATAAAAAAGATGGGATTAATGACAAATAACTGCAGAAGAGGACATCAGTGAATTCACAGCAGGAATAGAAACTATCCAAACTAAAATGGAGAGTGAAAACAAATTTAAAAAAAGAAAAAAATAAGTACCAGTAAGCTGTGAAACAACTTCAAATAGTCTAATATAAGTATAATTGAAATCCTACAAAAAAGGGACAGGAGATAGGCAAACAAATATTTGAAAATGCAATGGCCAAAACATCTCCAAATTTCATGAAAACTATAAATCCACAGATTAGAAACTCAAGAAATTCCAAGCACAAAGAAACTGGAGAAAACAACACCAACGCACATCATAATCAAATCGCTTAAAACTAAAAACAGAGAAAATTGTAAAAGCAGCCAGAGGATAAAAGATTAGAACAACAGTAGAAAAAATGCAAACTAGAAGATGACAGCATAAGATCTTTAAAGTAATGAAAGAAAGAAAACCCTGTCAAGTTAGAATTCTATACAGCTCTCAAAAATAAAAACAAAATAATACTTTTTCAGATAGAAAAATGTTGAAAGAATTTAACAGCAGCAGACATGTCTGTCATAAATGTTAATGTATTTCAGGCAGAAGGAAAATGATACCATATGAAAATCTGAAGCTATATTAAGGAATGAAGAACATTAGAAAAGGAAAGAATATGGGTAAATATAAAAGACTTTAAAGAACTTTAAAAAATCTCTTTAAAGGATAATTTAGCATTCAGACATAATGTTATTAATAAACAGGGACTAGATGGATTCTTTCACCTGAAACAAACAGAAAACAAAAACAAAACAAACAAACAAAGGCAAAGTACTGGAGATAATGTTTTTCAAAGCAGCATACATCAGGCAATGAAGGATAGTGATCACTGAGAGAAAGAAAGGAAACACGGTGAGCCTTATAATGTCCCTAGCTTACTGCCTTGAGAGAGTTCCCAGACTGCAGAACAGAGAGGAGAAATCCATGCAGAGCCTGGTGGACTCCCTGAGTTGACATGCAGAGCTAAGAGTCTGAGTAGATGATGTTGGCTAGAATTGAGAGGACAGAGTGCCAGAGAAGAGTAAGTTTCACAGAGACAGAACTCCAGAGATCTAGAGATGGTCCACCTGGAGTATTCACAGAGAAAACTATCTGGGGCCAGAAAGAACCACCTAGAAAGATTAGCAGGAACCCCTGGGATAAGAAACATGAAAAACTATACCAACCAATATATGTCATAATCAAATTGCTCAATATCAGTGACAAGAGAAACTCTTAAAAACAGCAAGAGTAAAAACACATACCAGATATAGAAGAACATATTATTAACAGGCTAAAGAGAATAATCTTATATTATTAATAACTATAATATAATAATAAATTATATCATTAATAATTATACATAATTTTATCCCTTGTTGTGGAAAAAGCATTTGATAAAATTCAACAACCATTCATGATAAAAACTCTTAGAAAACTAGGAATAGAGAGGAGTTTCATTGACTTGATAAAGAACATCTACAAAAAACCCTACAGCTAACATATTTACTAATGAAAGACTGAATGCTTTCCCCCTAAGGCTGGGAACAAGACAAGGATGTCTGCTCTCACTGTTCTCATCCAGCATGGTGCTGGAAGTTCTAGCCAGTGTAATAAGCAATGAAAAGGAAATACAAGGACTTCATTTGGAAAGGAACAAATAAATTGCTTCCAATTTGCAAGTGACATTTTCTTTGTAGAAAATCCCAAGGAATTTACAGAAAACCTCCTAGAATTAGTAACTGACCTAAACAAGATCATATGATATAAGACACCCACACAAAAAACAACTGTATTTCAATAAGCTAGCAATGTACACAGGGAAACTGTATTTAATAATACAGTACCATTTATAATTCCTCAAAAAATACTCAGGTACAAATCTAACAAAACATGTACAGAACTTGTGTGTTAAATGCTACAAAAAAATAATGAAAGAAACTACAGAAGACCTAAATAAGTGGAGTAATATATCATGTTCATGAATTGGAAGATTCAATATGGAAAGGATGTCAATTCTCTCTAAATTGTTATACAAATTTAACACACTTCCTTTCAAAATTCCAGCAAGATTTCTTGGGTGGATATAGATTAGTGTATTTTAAAATTTATATGGAAAGGAAAGGAACTAAAATAGCTAATACAATTTTGAAAAAGAGAATAAATTAGGAAGAATTAACTGTACCTGACTGCAAGAATTACATAACTATAGTAATTAACGTTATGTGGACAGACACAGAGATCAATGGAACAGAACAGATAAACAAGAAACAGACACACAAGCAACAGACAACTGATTTTTGATAAACGTACAAAAATAATTCAATGGAGGAAGGATAGTTTTTTCACCAAACAGTGCTGGGCAACTTGGTATCTATAGGCAAAAACATAAAATGAATGTCAACCTAAATCTCACAACTTATACAAAAATTAACTCACAATAGCTCACTAACACCAAAAGCATAATCCATGAAAGAAAAAGTCAGTAAACTGGACTTCATTAAAATTTAGAACTTTTGCATAAAAGGACCTAAGAAGTTGCAAAGACAAGCTACAGACAGTGAAAAAATATTTGAAAACTATATAACTAACAAAAGACTCACATCTAGAAGATATTAAAAGAAACTTTCAAAACTCAACAGTTAACGCAAACAAAAAAGAAAATCCAATTTGATCATGGGCAAAAGACATGAAGAAACATCTACCAAATAGGATATAGAGATGGCAAATAAGCTTATGAAAATAGGCTCAAAATCACTAGCCATTAGGGAATGCACATTTTGACCACAACGAGATTTCATGATATACCTATTAGAACAGCTAAAATTAAAAAAAAAATAGTGAAACTACAAAATGCTGATGAGGATGCAGAGAATATTTATCTCTCCTGCCTTGCTGGCAGGAATATAAGATGGCACAGCTACTCTGGAAAAGTCTGGTAGTTTCTTAAACATACACTTATTATACAACCCAGGAATCACTCTCTTGGGTATTTATCCCAGAGAGAAAAAAAATTACGTCTAGACAAAAATCTATACAAGAGTGTTCAAGGCAGCTTTATTTCGTAATAGCCAAAAAAACTGTGTTTTAATTGGAGAACAGTTTAACAAACTATAATACTGAATACATTCATGTCATGGCATACTACTCAGCAATAAAAAGAAGTAAACTATTGATGGTTGCAACAATTTGGATGGAGTGAAAAAAGTCAATCTCAAAATGTCACATACTGTATAGTTCTACTTCTATAACATTCTCACAATGTCCAGTTATAGAGATGGAGTACAAATCAGTGGTTGTTATGGGTTAGATGGTGACAGAGGAAGGGATGGATATGACTATAGGCAGCACAATGGGCATCTTTGTGGTGATGGAACAGTTCTGCATATTGATTGTAGTGGTGGATACATGAATCCACGCAGCCATGTGAAAAAATGGCATATAACTATACACACACATTGTACCAATGTCAGTTTCCTGGTTTTGACATTATACTATAGTTACGTAAGATGTAACCATTGGGCGCAGGGTACATGGGGCTCCTCTGTACTACCTTTAACACTTCCTGTGAGCTTGTAATTATTTCAAAATTTAAAAAAGTTTATAAAAATTATATGCTATAAACCCTAAAGTAATCATTAAAATAAAAGTACAAAGTATCATAACTAAGAAGCCAGCAAAAGAACACATAATCCAAGAAAAAAAGGGGGAGTAGAAAGAGAGGAATAAGGGAGCAAAGAAGAAGAGATGGAATATAGAGAAAATAAACAGTTAAGATGGTAGCTTGAAATCCAAACATGCCAACAATCACATTAAAATGTTCTAAATAATCAATTAAAAAGCAGGGATGACCATACTGGATAGAAAAGGAAGGCCTAACTGTGTTCTGCCTGATGGCATTGCTCTTTACAGATAAAGACACAAATAGGTTAAAAGAGAAGTATGGAAAAAGATGCTAGTCTAAAGGGAGCTGGAAGGACTATATCAATATCACACAATGAGTATATCAGAGCAAAAAAATCTATCACGGATAGAGATGATCATTTCATAAAGAAGAAGAGGCCAGTTCATCAGGGGAACATAATAGTCCTACATGTTGACGCATCTAATAATGGAGCCTCATAGTACATGAAGCGAAAACTGAGGGAATGGCAAAGTGAAACAAATTCAGTTATACTTGGAACTTTCAATATTCCCCTCTCAATAATTTATAAAACAAGCAGGCAGAAAATCAGCAAGGATATAGTAGATTTAAACAAGGATATCAACCAACTTGATCTGACTGGTATGTAGAGAACACTCCACCCAACACTAGCATCATACATATTTTTCTAAAGTGCACACAAAACATTTACCAAGATAGACCATCTTCTGGGCTATAAAACAAGTCACAATAAATTTAAAAGGTTTCAAGCCATACAAAGTATGCTCTCTTGACCCACAATGGAATTAACTTAGAAATCAATAGCAAAGATCTCTAGAAAATTCCCAATATACTGAAACAAAATAACACAATTTTAAGTAACCCAAGGGTTAAAGAAGAAATCAAAAGGGAATTTAGAAAGATTTGACCTGAATGAAAATGAAAACACAAAATATAAAAGATCGTGGGATGTTACTAATATAATACTTGCGGGAAGATTTATAGCACTAAAGGAGTGTATTAGTTGAAGAAAATATAAGAGAAAATCTTAGTGACCTAGGATTTCTTAAGATTGCTTAAATATGACATCAAAAGCACAAAGTATAAATGAAAAAAAATGAATAAACTGGACGTCATCAAATTAAAAACTTCTGCTCTTTTGAATTACACTGTAAAGAAAATAAGGCAAGCCACAGACTAAGAAAAAAAAAAAGGTAAAACATCTGGCTAACAAAGGATTTCTATCCAGCATATATAAACAGCTCTTACAATGCAAGCTCTTACAATGCCCTAATAAAAAATGGGCAAAAGATCTGAATAGAGATATCATCAGAATTTATACAGATCACAAATAAGCATATAGAAATTGCTTAACATCATTAGGTTAGGAAAATGCAGATTAAAACCACAAAGTGTTACCACTGTATACCCACTAGAATGGATAAAACTGAAAAGGCTGGCCATACTGAGTGCTGACAAGGATCTGAAGAGCAACCGAAACCCTAGGACTGGAGCAGAGCAGCAATTTGGTCTCAGAGAAAGGGAGCTCCACTGGGACCAGAAGGTCTGGATTCTAGTTTTTACTCTTGAGGCTTTGGGAAAGTTTTCAATCCTTCTAACCCTATTATAAAATACCAGTAACAACTACTCAGTCTACTTCATCAAGCTCTTGTGATGGTCAGGTGAGGTAACGGGAAACTACTCTATAAATGTGGGGTACTAATGTTATTCTGTCAAAAACTACACGAGCATGAATATCTCTGGAAAGGCAATTTAAAGAAAGTGATAACAAAGATAAAATAATATCATGTTAAAACTTTTCCTGGTTTCTCACTGCCTTTATTTAAGCTAGTTTAATTACTTTCTAATATTTCAATATTTACTTACTTACAAGGCCTTCAAATATTTATAAAAATGTATCTGCCAAATAATACACAGACGTTTGCCTAAATTAACGTTAACCATTAATAAGATTATACTACTCTCTATGGTGCTAAGCATTTCAATAACTAATAAGTCAGTAAACTGCTGATATTTTTAATACTTTGATTATTGTTTATCAAATTAGATTTTGGCAGTAAAAATCACTTTTTATAAAGACATTACTTATATATTAACAAATCAATCTTGACTCATTCAGTCTGGTAGCTTTGTAAGAATCCATGACTTCAGTTTTTCTAGCTCAGCTTTGCTTAACTCATGGTAAACACCTGGGAAACTATGAAACTTTGTCCTCACTCCTAGAGATTTTAACACTGAGTTTGTCTCTTCACCCCAAGAATGAAGAACTAACTCATCTGCGGTACCATGACACTGAAATAATTCAGGGAGGACACCATCACTTTTCTGAAGAGCCTAGAGAAGAGAACATAAAAATGGAGAAGTTTAAGAAATTCATTTAAGAACATTATTCTTAGAAATCAGAGGGGGCAGAAAAACTCCAATTTAACCAAAGCTTCAATATTTAAAGGGGAAAAAGAGGCAGTGGTAGAGCTCTCTGAGGTATATATTGATGGGCCAGGACCAGGAGCTTAGCTGGTTGCTGGCACCACTGGAGCTGCAGTTGTACGTGATCTGAATTTACTCTGTAGAGGACTGTCTCAAAAGTGGTCAAAGCATTTCCCGAAGAAACCTTGTGTCTTGGGAAGACAAACCTCTTCACATGGAGTGGAAAGAGGGAGGAACACAGAGCTTAGGTACAATCAAGGAAAAAAAAGCATTCTTGTTTTCATTTCCATACCTACTGGTTCTACTTCTTGTAATGAGGCTGCAGCACTATAATATGCCATACTCATAAGTCAGGATATTGCTGAAAAATAGGTATCAGCCATGTAACTGATTCTTTGGTGTGATTATGTTCATGACATAATAAGCAAACCTAGTTGTAATCATCTATATTTTTAATATGTATGCAGGATACATATATAGCATACACATATTTTTTATCCTTTTCTCTTTGACACTTTGCTTAACAATAATCTCTGTACAAGGCACTTCCTAAACATGAATGACCAGCTGGAATTTATCAATATAAGTAATTTGAATTCCCAGGAATGCTCTGTGAATCAATTGTTATTGTGTAATTATCAATGTTGTTTTAGTTTCAATGTGTGACTGTCTCATTTTTTTTTTCTGTTTTGTTTTTAAAATCTGGAACTTACCTGGTAAACAGCAGATGTCTTATTCAGAAAACTAGAAAGAGCAAATACTCCTGCCACATCTTGATGATTTCTGTATGCTAAATGCATTGCCATGCACCCTCCCATAGAAAATCCTCCTAAAAGAAGCAAAAATTCACTTATCAGAAAAAGCAGAATATATGTACGATAATTTAGAACAAGATATAGCTATGCCAATCTTCCATAAATATTTGGAGATCTAAAAGAGATACAATGCTAAAGAGAAATTTAGCCTACTTTAGATCTCATGGAAAAAAACCTGCTATGAGTAAATAACACTGTTCTATCTATGCCATCACTGGTAAAATAATTTGTTATAAAAGGAGCTAGAATTGAAAAATAAATTTTGGTCATCAAGTAAAAATATTTATTATATTTCAAAATATGAGTCACAGCACAAGTGTTATTTATTTAAACTTCTAGTGTCTACTTACATTTTGTTTATACTTATAGGAGTCCTCACACTGCAGCTACAATTAATAACATGCACCTTTCTGTCTTACTTGCCAAGCTACAAGCTCCATGAGGATTATATTTCTAGAGTTTGCCATATAATAGATGCTTAGTGATCTCTGAATTAGGAAGGATGATCAAAAATTTGGTGAGAAAGATAAAACATATTCGTATTATAATATTATTTTGAAAACTGACTTGTGATGGTATAATTCAAATGTATGTACCCATATGTCCTTTTAAAAAAGAGTTTGGGGAAAAAATATTCACTTGACAAACTTTTATTGTCTTTTATGTGCCAAACACTGTCACTGGAGTGACACCAGTCACCAGAGATATGCAGGTTAAAATACCTGGACCCTTCTGTTCAAAGGCGAAAACCGACACAACACAGAATATGGAGGTAGGTACCTGACCGTGACATAGCAGAGAGGATGGCCCAGCTTCAGCTTAGAGACTCGGTGTGATATTCCCCAGCATGACTGAGAGTTAAAAGACATCTCATGATTTAAAAGAAATCCATATGTTAGAGATAACAAGGCTGTAGGAACACAGTTTTTATTTCTTGGAGAAATTCAAGAGCTTGAGTTATATTTTTTGCCAAATGTACCTAAGTAACATATTAAATGGGACTAGTATGACTGAGGAATTAAACATTTACTTTAATTTTACCTAGTTAAAATTTGAGTTTAAATACATGTGGCTAGGGGTTATCATATGGGACAATGAAGTTCTAGATAATCTAAGCTGCACCAATGATGGAAAAAAAGCTTTAAATTTCATAAATGGAGCAAAATGAAATTAATGTTCCATAAAAACATAATGTGGCTAATATCATTAAATGTGATCTTTTAATGTGATAAAGATTTTTTAAAAATAATACAAAGATAAAATGTGAATAAAAATAGACCAGTGAGCAAAAACATATTTAAAAATTATTATAAAAGCACACCTACTGAGAAAATTTTTACGCATTAAATGCACCCACCCCATCACTGCGCTTTTATTGACTAGGGTAACTTAATCACTTTATGGGATTTCCGAGCCTCTCGGGGGGACCAGCCTCACAGCAAGAACAGCAACAAGAACAGCAACAAAACTAAGAAAGAAAACACTTTCCCACGTATGAAATGCCATTATGAACAAAGGTATCCTTGAGACATTTAACCTCATATTCAATTCTCCTAATTTATAATGAAGAAAAATGTACTCGTTGAAAACTCATTATTTTAAGATTCAATCTAAGTTCCTTGTCCATTTATAATCTCGTGAGGTAGCCTGCAATTCCTCACCAGCGATCTTTGACAATACAGTCACCTTTAATGTTGCGGACACCGGTGTGAAAGGGACTTTATGTACTTTTTTCTAATGGAAGAAAATTTAACACAAAAGACTAGTTATTTCAATTTTCATCTAAGTGTTTAAAATGCAATATAAAATATACTGCTCAGTAAGTAAATACCAATGAGTAAACTCATTGTAGGTAATAGTTATGATGTATATTTATAGTCGCTGGTGAAGCATTAAAATGTCAAAGTTAACATTTCAACATACATTTAAGATTAATAGGCTGAATAAAAAACATGTTAAAAAAATAACCTAGTTTTTATGAACTCTTTAAATTAAATAAAACAGTAATAATGTACAAAAACTGTACTGGGAAAACTAAGCTAATCTATCTGAAAACAAAGTCCGGGGGTGGGGTTGTGGGGGGGAGGCAGGGAACTTACAATTCAAGTTTACCGTCAATTGAATGGGATTTTAAAAATGGAATAAAATCCACCCTCCAACCAAATTGCAACAATTTTTCCACTTTATATATAATTATTTTTCAGAATGAACTGTGATAAAGTCTTAAAAATTTGGGAATATATAAATTATGCCCACCATATTTGTATATTTTCTCTCATATAAAATTGGCAGGGTAAACAAAATATTTATCATCTTCTATGGAAAGCTATTAAAACAGCAGTCCCAAGCCTTAAAAGTTCTGATAGTTGTTGCTGAAGAAACGTACATTATTTAAGATAAATATATATGTTAAAAGAAAGTAGAAGGATGCTATCATTCTCCAGTTTTCCCTCCAAGAGCTTCAAAAGAAACTTATATAATGTCAGGAAAGTCAGTCTGGAAATTGTGGAGCTAGGTTTCATCTTGGTAACTGCAACTACCCCTTCATTTTAATTTTAAATCTTATTATAAAATTAATATGTGAATATATGCCCACTGTGTAAAGTATTTCCACCACACAAAAATAAAGAAAATGCGTTATCCAAAATCTCACTACTCACATATAATTTTGACATGTTTTTAAAAATTCATTTTAACAGTTAAACTCACTCTATATGTACAATTTTATACCTTACTTTCATGTAATACTGATTTGAATGTCTTTAAACAGAATTACAAAATTCCATAATTATTTTTTTACTCCTTGAACACATACTAAGTATACTAAGTACCTTCTAAATGTATGTATATAGTATATAATGGTTACATAATAGTCAGTTGTATTAACAGACCATTACTCCCTTAACCGCTTTCCTCATGATGGGTATTTAGAGCATCATAATGGGTATGTAGAGCATCCATGTAAATTATTCAGGTGTAATTCCAGAAGCACTTGATTATCCCTGCTTCAAAATTCTGATAATATTATCAGAGAACATGAAAAACTATACCAATAATCTGGTCATTATCATTTGTCAGGTTCTATACATCCTAGATCAAAGTTAAATCTAAATTATGTCAGTTTTCTCTTAACAACAAATTATCACCACCTAGTGGTTAGAAAAAGGAATCTCATTATGGTACAAAGTTCCTAAGTCAATGCATAGGATCTGGGTTCTAGTCCCAACTCTATTTTAGCCAGCAGTCTCTTTGAACTTTAGTTTCTTCTTATCTGAAATGAGAATAATAATTTCCTACTTCACCTATTACAAGGGTCAAGAAAGATACTGTATATGAAAAAATGTGTATAATTTAAACACATTATAGTGTTAAACTATATTCTTAATAATTTTCTCAGAATACAGAATCTGAATCCAGGTTTTAACAATAGCTATGTTGCCAAATTCAGAAAGTAATTTAAAAGTCGCTATTTTATTGCCTGTGTTTCCCCTAATTTTTACCATACCCTCTGTAGAATCATGTGTGGTATTATTATATAAAAATAAATAAACTTTCTTGTATCTGATCTTCTTAATATGCATAGTAAGGATTCACAAATGTCTCCAAGGAACACATTTAAAGCTTTTGCCCAGTTCCTCCTTTCTAACCAAAGTTTATTCTTTCCATTAAGAAAGAAATATATTTCCATTGTTGAAAACAAGAAAACAAAGGATTTTTCTTAGCTAAACTCACAGTTGACTGCAATGTTCTTTAGTGTAATCTTACTCATCCTTTGTTTCCAAAGTCGTGAAACACTATACGTGTTGGTCTTTCATCATTCTACTGGATCTATTGCATTTGCCATCTTCCTATTCCCCCGGACTTCAGACTAGCCAGCCTCCACAGTGTTGTCAGTGTAATCTTTTTAAAATGCTCATCTGATCATGTCATTCTCTGTATATAATTCAATAATCCTAGGAGTTGAAGCGCATATCAAACTAGTAGTCCCTGAGAGATTTTAATGTGTCCCTTGTTTTCTTTCATGACTGTGTTTCCCTATTTGTTTACCAGTCATATTCTCACTCATTCTTTAAAACTCAATTGGAGATGATCTCTTCTAAGAAGCAGTTCCTAGCTCCCCCCAAAATCGACTTGTTCTTTAGAACACTTTACTTCTGTTATCTCCCTCATTATACTGTAAAGCTTTTGATAGTTTTTGGTACTCCAGCACTTAAGTTTTATTAACAATTTGGAAATTAAATTTAGTATGAGAAGTTTCATTTTTGACCTGACTAAGCTGTGTAAACTACCTAGAAAAGGTGGTATATCATACTCTATAAAAACATTGTTTTTAAACTAAGTTTAATATAATAAAATATCACTAATCAAAATAAAACCACAGAAAAAGAATAGGCTGCCACCTACACAAATATAGAGAATAGTTTTGTTTACAAAGCTATATTGGTTAAAATTACAATCTCAGAGAAAAGAGTTCCATGAGGACACAATGTGTGATATTAAATCTGAAATTTTATCACATATTAAACAAAATCAACAAGGGTAACAATTTTGTACTATTATCTCTATTTTTTCCTTTTTTTAAAAAAAAATTATTTATGTTTGGCTGTATTGCGTCTTCACTGCTGCCTGCGGGCTTTCTCTAGTTGTGGCGAGCGGGGGCTACTCTTCGTTGCGGTGCGTGGGCTTCTCATTGTGGTGGCTTCTCTTGTTGCAGAGCACGGGCTCTAGGTGTGTGGGTAGTTGTGGCATGCGGGCTCAGTAGTTGTGGCTCGTGGGCTCTAGAGCACAGGCTCAGTAGTTGTGGCACACGGGCTTAGTTGCTCCGCAGCATGTGGGATCTTCCCAGACCAGGGCTCGAACCCGTGTTCCCTGCACTGGCAGGCAGATTCTTAACCACTGCTCCACCAGAGAAGTCCCCTTCCTTTCTAATCTTCTAATTTTTCTAGTTTTTCCTCTTATAATTAATTTTTTAAAGTAACCTATGTTGTTTGTATATGTGTGTCTAGCATCTCAAATGCACTTTGCTTTGACATCCCACTGGATCCCTCCTTCATTAAAATGTTATAAATATCATTTAAATCTTACTTAATTTAAAATGTTCTATAATAGACACTTGACAAAAGGATTAAACCAGTAGAAAAATATAAAGCAGTAACTTCTGTTTAAAGAATCTATGAGCAATGAAAAAGAAAGAGGGAAGTACAGCACGTATACTACTGAGGAAAGAAAACAGCTGGTAGGGAAGGAACAATGAGCTCCCTGAGTCTCCACAGGCAGCACTGGTCCAGTACGGCCTTTCTGTTGTCTGGAGAGACCATGGGGAAGGTGGTATAGAGAGTGTTTAATAACAGCAAGAAAATTTCTTCAACATTACCCGCCAGGCATATTTCTAAGTGTTTCACATGAATTGACTAACTGAATCATCACACCTCTGTAAGATAAGTACTATTATTATCATCCACACACAGAGGTTAAGGAAACTCATATACCTACAAAATAGTGAATCTAGGATTAGAAACCTGCAGTCTGAGTCCAGAGCCCAGGTTCTTAACCATGTTATACTGCTGTCAGTTGCATTCATGCATTTGCAATTATGATATTCACAACTCAAGAAATGCATGTACAAATATTTGAATACATAATGATATTTTGCTTCATGTGCCATGTTTTCAAATAAGTGAGAAGTTCAGTTAGATCAATAAGACAAAAAAATAAAAAACAACTACAAGAGAAAATCCCTATAGGACTAGAATGCTATTTCCTCTATGCATCAATAGCTAATCCATGTAAAGAAAAAGGAGGTAGTATAAGTAACGTTTTGTCATAATAAAAGGTCAAGAATCACGTGTATTTTGGCACACTTGTTTAACTCTACAGAAATGTAAGTGAAGATTTATTTTCATTGACTGCTTAAATAACTAAAAGTAAAGTAACAAGGACCAACAACCTTGGATCTGCACTTCTGTCATCTCTTTCATACCTCAAGCTAGGAAAGAGGCTTTATAGGAGTTCATAAGCTCATCTCACAAATTCTAAAAAAGCATTTTTTTCTTTCCCAATTTTTATATTCATAAGTGTATATAAATATCCTATTATACGCACTTTGTAATACATTTCAAATTTTATAATTTTATAATATAATAGTTTATAACCCTTCCAAAATGAAATTTTGTTAAAAATTCAGTGGAGCTTTGATAAAACATCGACTACATTACTGATTGCTTTATAAATAAGATCATCTTTTAACAAGGTTCTCTTGGTACTTCAGAAAATAATTAAAACCTTCCATGATATGGTAGAAAGAAACTAAAAAAAATTCCAGATGAATCAAATAATTAAATATTTAAAAAATTATAGAAAAGCCAGTAGAACACCTATTTGAATATTTATTCAAGTTCTAGAGAAATACCTTCTTAAACTGAGAAATTATTTGGAAAAAAAATAGACAAGTAAAAATAGCTTTCTTGTGTCAAAACATAAACAGAATTAAAAGAAAAATAACAAATTAAGTGCATATTAATTACCACTTTTGTTTACTTATTTTTAGAAAATATTTTTCAAGACAATATTATTCAGTGAGGTATAATAAGATGGACATTCTAAATATAGGTGGGAGAAGTATCAACTGGTACAGTTTTTTCACAAAAGGAATTTGACAAGATGTATTAAGAATTTTACAAACGTTCAGTTAAATGGAAGAACCATGGGCTTTGAAATGAAGTAAACCCAGATTCAAAATTCTTATCAGCTCTCCGACCTTAAAACAATCCATAACCTCTTTTCAAAGATGAATAAGATGAAGTAACTGATGGATACAGGGAAGGGCAAGGAGGGATGGGGCAAGAGACAAGCAATTACAATTCAACGTGATACGTTCTTTAACACATATACATTAGAAGTACGATTTGTATATTTTCTACGTTTTTATGTATGAAGATTTTATAATTTTAATTTAAAGCAATTTCTTACAGTAATAATATTTTGTTTTCCCACTGTCATTACGTGACTTCAGGATCTCATTACCCTATAATCATAAATTCAGTAACTGGTTTTCCCATACCCAAATTGTTATCTCTTCACTTACCCCTTCTGCCAGATTAATTTTCCTAAAGCACAGTTCTAACTATATGACTCAAAGACATACTTTAATCATCTCTCCTCAATTACCTACAGAATAAAGGATAAAAGGGGAACCAGAAAGTATTTATTGAGAGTGTAAAATGAGCCAACTGTTTTACAAACATCATATCCCAGTAAAATAGTATTTTTATAGTATTATTATTCCCACTTTGCAGATGAGGTAGCAGAAATTCAGTGTAGGCAATTAAGTGATGAACCAGCTAGGCAGTGGTGGACTTTAGATTCGACCCATTTTGGTCACTATACCATTATACTCTTCAGGTTGTTAGTCCAGCTATCAGATCAATAGGCATTTTCCAGTCAGACAACAAACTTTCTGCTAAAGCCATCTAACATCCAGACAGATAAAATCAAGCACTATTTTTTTTTTACTCCTATTTACCATTCATATTACTCTCTATGTTTAGACCTCTACACTATAATAGTTAAAATTTTATTTATTTGCACATCTCAAAATCTCAAATGCCTCTGATACTTTCCTATTAAATTGTCCTCTAATAGCCCCAAATACTTATTACCTCTTTTCATCTGAATTCCTGTGATACTTAACTACTTAAGTCATCAATTTACAGATCAGGTCATGCTGCTCATTATAAATGTTTAGCTCTGTGCTAGGCATTGCGATGGGTCCTGAGAAATAAAAATACATACAGATGATCATTCCCTTTGAAGAGCTGTCAGTTATATTGCTTTAGGGCAATCATCAAGGCTGGCTGGCCTTACAGTTACCATTTTAAGTACCTCATGGGCTCTTCTAGGTTGTAAGCAACTGTGGCATTCCTGTTCTATTTATCGGTGTGTCTCTTTGAGCATCTAACTTACTGCCAGACACACAGTACTTAGAAACTTAGAAAATATTTGCTAAATCATTGAATGACAGAATCTGTTACACATTCACATATTTTGAATTCTATCTTGTAACTGTTTCATGATGCCCTAGACTGAATTGGTGCCCCTTCACTATGCTCTTCCCAGTACTCCCATAACGTTCTGTATTTATCTCTATGACACAGATGTTAAACACAGAAACATAGAAATATAGAGTTAAACACTGATGAGGAAACAGAGGCCCAGAAAGGTGATGTTACTGCACTGGAGGGCGCACTGCTTTTAACTAACAAAAGTGAATGCTGAAGCCAAGACAGAAAAATGTATTCCATCCAGTATATCATATTGCTTCTCAACTCAATGAATAGTTTAGTACTTCAATAAACACAAAGGAAGTTTATTAATTTGCCCAAGTCCTGTCTACACAGGATTTCAATGTACATTTTAATGTTATTTAGAACATGATGAAGATACTTAATTTGCTTTATAATTTCAACATTAAATACAACTCATTATAAATTAAGTAGTTATTTGGAAATAACTCTTTAACAAAAATCCATCCTGTATCATTCACATTCTATACAGTTTATCTTATTTTTGTATGTATTATAAAATGGTTTATGTATTTTATGACTGCAGAAAAGGAAAGGGGTGTAAGTAGAATAAAGCTTATATAAAGGCATGCTATATCCCCTTGGGAAGAGAGATTGCTAAAGACATGTTTAACAAAAGTTTATGAACACCTTATTCCTACAGTATTAACTCTGAAGAGTTTACGAATTTTTTCACGAATTTGCTGTTATATTTTGACTATGTACTCGAATTTATCTTAATTATGGCGATAGTAGTTTAAACATATAAAACTTAAGCTAATTAAAATAAAATGTTTTAAAAACTGGAATGAATAATCTCTTAATTGAAAATTAAAGTAGAAAGAAAATTTTAACCGCCATGGGAGTCTTAAAGTATGTTATTATTAAAAAGAAAATCAGTTAAAGTTTTATGAGTTTTTGCTTATAATTCTATTACCCTTAAAATTCTTAATATGTAAAGTTTATCTGAAACTGTGAATAGGTCAAATGATACACAAAGTGCTTCGAAATAATGTTCCAAGTAAAATTCAATGTATAGAATTACACAAAAGTGAAAAAAATATTTAAATTATCAACACCTAAAGATCTTACCTAGTAATATTCTGTTCTTCTTGATACCACTTTTTACTTCACCATCAATCAAATCTGTAAGCACCTGACACATTACATCAATTGATTCAAGGTGTTCTGGGCAGTCATTAGATATTTGAAATCTGTCAAACCATACATTGGAGAATCCTCCTTTCAAAGGAGTATATGGCCTGTTTAAAACCAAAAAAAGAAAAAGAAAAAATTAAAATAGATGTTTTAATTTCTAAAAAATTAGTGTTTTGAATAATTACAATTTCCTCCAAGTTTTAAAAGTTAAGTAATTCACATTAAAAATATTCCCATGCTGATTGCCTTAACTCTCCTGTACTTACCTTGGTTCTATTAACATTTATTAATGCCAGTTCATCATCTTAGTTTCTCTCCATCTTTTAAGTTTCATAAATTCTCCAGAAAATCCCCATGAAAAAAGGGTAATTATTTATTGCGTGTGCATGTTATTTTTTCCACTCAATTTAAATGATTATTTAACTATTTACAGCTAAATAAATAATGTCTGGCCATGCAAAAAGTCAATGCCTCAAGAGTAGAAAATATGATTTACCAAAATGCTTTTCAAAAGGTGGTTAGTTTGTAGCACATAAGTATGAAGGCTACGTTAGTAATTTAAAGGTTTCTTGATCACACCAGGTAGATTATCCTTAGAATAGGAGTCTTCAGTATTTTTGTTTTGTTTTGTTTTGTTAATCAAGAGTTGGAGCTATTTTATTTTTAAATCTTCTCAGGAACCTTGAAATGAGTTTAATGGGATACAAATAATCTTTGGAAGTGCTTATCATACAGATATTCCACACTGTTTGCATCATTTGGATCTCAAATTGGGTGTCTTGTTGGACTTAAAAACATTTTATGTGATAAGATGCCCTGAACTGGGTGTCTTGTTGAACAAGGCTGATATTATAAGATGCTTTACATTTAAGTATGAGATGGGGTGGTTACAGTATTAGTGAATCTTGCTCTGGATGCTCTGTTATTTTAAGTATACATGTGTGTATGCACACGTTTGTGTGTATCCCAAGGTATTCCAAATATTCTGTTTTAATCAATTATAATGGGGTCAAGGGGTCCTGTATCAAGTCTTATGTTGGTAAAGGTAAATGAAGGGAATGAAAACACTCTTAGAGCTTCCTGTAGCAAACACCCAGACGTTTATGGGGATATATAAGACACACATGGAGAACAATAGCTTTCCAAAGATGAGGAATAGTAAAGTTTAATAAAAGATACAGCTTTTCACTTAGCAAATCTTGCTTTCTCCTCATGTGACCGTGAAAAAGTTTTATGTTATAAGGAAGAAGACCACAGAAAACACAAACAGTGACAAAAGTATACATTATAATTTGAAAGAAATCTAAACCAGTGATGACCACAGATGCAGGGTTTCTCCTAGACCAACACCTCTACTACTTTGCCCCATCTCAAATTTAGCTACATATACTCACCCTCCAGAGTTAGTGAAATAAAAGCATAAAATGTACAGCCAGAACAAAAAAATGGAGGGCTGAAAGACACCAGCTGAGATCTGAATGTGCTTCTTTGCATTTTCTCTAGTGAAAAACCAAGTGGAATCCTGGCAAACCCAAGGAGGTAGAACTATTCAATTCTCATTATCTCAACCACTGTAGCAAAAGGACTCTGCAGTCTGTGCAGATCTGACCATCAGAAACATCCAACTGTTAGGACCAAAGGGTGGCGCTGAAGGGAATAGGAGAACTACACAACTGTTGTTCTGTATTGGTCTTAACACTCTAAAATAAATGGATATCCACTTAAGGAGCCTAAGAGTCAAGAGAAATATTTTGGAAACTTTCTCAAGAGAAAGTGAAAGAAATCTGGAAACAAGGCAGTTGCTCTGACTCAGATTTAACAAGAACTCATCTTCAGAGAACCTCGTATTTACTAAAATATAATCGTGTTATAAACTTTACTTGGTAACATACTTTCTAAAATTTGAATGTATATTACAAATATCTCTGTAAGTCAGTACATAAAACCCTAACATTTTCTCCTAGTTTATGCACATGCATGAAATCTTGCAAATACAGGCTATTTTGTCTGTGTGTGTATTGTTTTGATGTCTTCCAATTAAGTCCTTTTTATTTTTTTGCTCAACTCTCCATTCCTCCTCTCCTCTCCCACCCCATCCTGCCCTTCACATTAGGTAAACTATGTTAATGATCTGGAATGTTTTTCTTTGCACATACATTAAAACATGTTTCTTTACATTATAGTTTTTAGAGCATTTGCTTTTCAAAAATGAAATAAGCCTATTTGGTTTTCTTATGTGTGTCATACTTTTCTCCTTTAACAATACCTCATGGAAATCCTTTCATCTGATATAGCTCTTACCCATCCTTTTAAATAGCTATATAATAAAGATGTTCCACAATTTAATCTGCTCTTCACCTACTAATGGGCATTTATTTGGTACCCAGGTTTTAGCCACTAAGAACAATTCTGCATCAAACATATTCACGTACATGTTTTTACATACTGGGACTTTTATTCCTATGGAACAGTCTGTGAAATAGGACCACAGGATGGAGAGGTATGATTTTTACCTTAATAGATGTTTCAAAGTTGCTTCCACAAAGGCTATAAAAATTCACCTTTCTACAAGAAAGGTCTGAGAACATCCTTTTGCCCAACAGCCCTACCCTAATTACAACAGGTACTAACATACTTTAAAATATTACCATTGAAGGGTATCAACTATGGTTTTAAAATCAACTTTACTGAGGTATAGTTTACATATATAAATGCACACATTTTAAATACAAAGTTCAAAGACCTTTGACAATGTATTTCCATTATGATACAGAACATTTACTTTACTTCAGAAAATTCCATCATGCCCACTTACAAGAAAGCCCCGTTCACTTCCCAGGAAACCGCTGACTGATTTCTATCACTATAGATTAGTGCTGCCTTTCCAGAACTCCACATAAAGGAATTACTTATTCATAACGTTGGCTATTTTATTCTATTGGGGTTTTGATTTTTTTTATTAGTTTAGAACCGCATCTGTGTATTGTTGCCATAAATATTTTTCATTTGTATTTCAAGTATTTTTTTCAAATCAATTTCTGTATATTGACGTAATGTATTTAAAGTATCTATCTTTTTTTTAAAAAGCCAAATAAAAGACTTTTACAATTGATATAATCTGTCCATTTTTTTTGTATTGAACTAAATTTCTGGGTCTTCTGATTTATTTAAGGTATTCTCAGTCCACACATTTTTACATATAGAATCCAAGATTTTCTTCTAAGATTTTTTTTTTTTTTTTTAGCGGTACGCGGGCCTCTCACTGTTGTGGCCTCTCCCGTTGCGGAGCACAGGCTCTGGATGCGCAGGCTCAGCAGCCATGGCTCACGGGACCAGCCGCTCCACGGCATGTGGGATCTCCCGGGACCGGGGCACAAACCCGTGTCCCCTGCATCGGCAGGCGGACTCTCAACCACTGTGCCACCAGGGAAGCCCCCTTCTAAGATTTTTGTTTTCATTCTTAAAGTTTTGAATTTTTCTGGAATTTACTTCATACGTGAAGTGACCTAAGGGTTCAAATTCATTTTCTCCCAAATGTTTAGCCAGTTGTGCCTGCACTACTACAAAAAACCAAAAACTTTTCTCATAAAGGTGAAATTCTACCTTTGCCATATTATAGTTCTGAATTATCTAGTCTGTGTCAAGCTAGGTAAATAAGAGAATTAAACCCTAATACCTAATAACCTTTACTGTCTATAATGAATGGGCTTCTCTCCAAAGCATCTAGATTGGTACTAGTTCTGTTCTATCCTAGGCAAAACTCAAGGAAATGACAAGTCATTTTGTGTGTTCTGTGATTCAGGTGGAAAATTCTGGTTGGGAAAGGCTCTATTTTGTTCCACTGATCTGTTTATCTACTCCTGTGTTAGAATCATGTCGACTGTATTTACAGTGGTTTTAGAATATGTTCTGAGGTGGAGTCAGGTGGGCCACCTCTCCCTACCATCATTACCACATGTCTTCCAGACTTGTCCTGCCTATTCTCAGATATCTAATCTTCTTTATCTCTCTAAGAAATTAATCAAATATTTAGTAAATTCTTAAATAATTCCCCTTAAAAGTCCTTGTGGGATTTCAGGACTTCCCTGGTGGCTGGTGGTGCAGTGGTTAAGAATCTGCCTGCCAATGCAGGGGACATGGGTTCGATCCCTGGTCCGGGAAGATCCCACATGCCGTGGAGCAACTAAGCCCGTGTGCTACAACTACTGAGCCTGCACCTTGGAGGCCACGAGCCACAACTACTGAAGCCCGCACGCCTAGAGCCCGTGCTCTGCAACAAGAGAAGCCACTGCAATGAAGAGCAGCCCCCGCTCGCCACAATTAGAGAAAGCCTGTGCACAGCAACGAAGACCCAACACAACCAAAAAAAAAAAAAAAAAGTCCTTGTGGGAATTAACTAGTATTGCATTATTGCCTGGGAATTAACATTTTATGACATGAATCTGGGAGGTGGGAAGATTTCTGCAGACTGTGCTCTTCCCAGGATCGGCCACATTCTGGGCCTTACCTAAGGCTTCTCCTGCCTCGTTCCCCAGGCTCTAAGTGGGTACACTGGGTGCAGCAAAGATAAAATCCTGCGCCAGCTCTCTATGGGGACCCCCACAGAGCCTAAATTCTCCCTCATTCCTGTAGGCCTTCTGACTTCAGAAGCTGCTTGGCTCAATAGAGGTAGATAAATTGGAATCAGAAGGGGAGAGAAGACAGAAAGCATTCTATCCTCCCACCTCCCAGAATCCCTTCTCAGGATTAACTTTCTTAAAGTACTCTGAAAATGAAAGCAGGTGCTTTCCACATAGCATTTATGTCACTGTTAGAGAAAAAGAATTCTCAAACTATTGAAATTGTCACTTAAATCACAGTGATCTTCTGAATGAAAACAATATACAACACTCATACTAAAGCCTGAATTAGACTGGTACTTTTTTGACTTGTTTCTACTTCCCTTTTCATTTTCTTCTGTTTCTCTAAGGGTTTATTTGCCTGTCGAAGCACTTAAATAAGGATGATATCGTAGGCTAAAATATGAATCATTCTGGGAACTCAGCCATTAATAGAAAAAAAATGACATTCACTTAACTTTTTGTCTTTGACAGTACCTTACTTA